CTGTCGATGAGATCGTCTGCCATGTCTGATCGTCGATTACCTTCTATCATTCCGTTTTGGTAATGATGATATGGCAGGGACTTTTCGGCCTTGATCCCTTTCGATATCAGAAAATCCTCGAGCAGCTTGTTGGTGAATTCTCCTCCGTTGTCACTCCGGAGCGTTTTCAAACGTTGTGGGATACTTTATGGGTTCCCATCCAACAACTTCAAAAAATTTATATTTTCTTGTATATACAATAATATTACACCAATTATGGCTCCAGGAAGGGATTCCAGGGCCAAAATTACCCTAGAGGAGCAGGCTTGGACACATGTAACCCCCCTGTGTTACATGTTACACCCCTCTTTCACTCACAGGTAGGGGGGTCAAGCACCCTTACATGTTACAAGGGTATCAGGTATACATGTCACCCCTCCGGGCCATGTGATCTGGCATCTGTACATCTCAATCAAGTACAATGGAAGTATGCAGGCACAGCGTACAGGTTACCTTGGCAACCTGACATGCGAAGCGTACAGCCTCAAATACAGGATGACATCATGCAGCTTACAAAACACAGCCTGCAGGTTGCTAGGTTGCATAGCAACCGTTGCACAGCTTGTCAATCCGACGGAAACCACTCAACTTCTCAAATCACATCATGTAGGCTGTACCACCAGCCAAAACCCCTCATGTATTCTTCCATCTTGGCCAAATTCCCTCATGTAAGGCTGTACAACCAGCCAAAATCCCTCATTCCTGGCTCCCCTGGAGCCAAAATACCTCATTGTTGTCTATATAAGGAGGCCCTTTCTCCCAGTTGTAATTTCTCCTCAGCAGACTTCCTGCAGACATTTCCCCACATACCAGGCAAATCACTGCTCACTCCATAATATTATTTGTTCCCCAATATTTTGGTTTTACAATTATAACAACCCTTACATACAATTATTACAACATCTTTACACATAACAACAACCCATTTTTGCACCTGTCCACCTGTTAAACAACAGAGTATCTTTTGATACACTCCACTATCACTAATTAAAAGCTGCCAATCTAAGATTGGTGGTCTTGTTTAGTGTAGTACACAGGAAAGGCAGAGGTTACCTCACACATCCCTTTCCGAACTCAGCAAAAGGTTCTCACGAACACTTTTGAGCTTAACAAGGGAGTCCCCAACGTGATAGAGGATCCTGTCGTTTGGCACGTGGATTGAAAAATCAGTGAACCACTGTAGTGAAAACTAGAGGGTATATTTGTTAGTTTGTGTTAGTTTAGGCGGGAAATCATACCTGTCTTGACAACCTGAAAAAGCATATCTCTGAATAAGCAATTTCAGTCAGTTTATACAATAAAGTTCATATATAGACCTAGTAGGGCCGGACTAAATAATTAACTACTCAAAAAATCAATTATAAAAGTTAAGAAGACGAGGGGACCGGCTAAGCTGACGTACAAGCAGTAGGATATAGATTTTAACTACCAAGGTGGTAGCCGATAAGCTTAGTACAGAACAGACTGTAGTCTATGACAACCTCTACGCATCGGTATAATTGAAGAATAAAAAGTAGCATATTATTTAGTTTTTGATTATTAGTTTAGTAAACAATACCCTCTACCTTGCCCTGGCAAAGAAGCCAGAGACCTTAGTTTTTAGTGAAGTTAGGATTACTACTAGGAAAATATTAAAACTCATTTGATATAAAAACACTTGAAATTAGTAAAAATTGGACATGGCTTTTTCACAAAATCAAGATTTGGAAGGAGCTCTACCAACAACAAACACACCTTCAACAGGAATATTCTCGGGCAATCAACACAGTCAACACATGAATATTGATCCGCCACCACCACCACCTATGAGACATAATCGCTTACGCCATTA